AGACCCCTCCCCTATCAGCCAATCACTGTGTGCATAGTTAGTAAGTATGCTGACATCATCCATAGCAACGAGGTCAACCCCGCCCTTACTCTTAGCTTAAGACTTTTCTCTGTTCCTTAGTAAAAGTTTGTCTCAGCAGCTTTGTGAATAGGTCTTAAGAGAAAACTCTTAGCTAAAAACTTTTACTGCTATTTAGGAGAACTCTTAGTGGTAAGATAAAATGTTTTGTGAATACGGGCCCAGGTTTATATACTGGCCCTGTCCCAAATCGCACCCTAAACTCTCACGGTCTTCCGCACTTTCGTGACGTAATGCCGCTTTGACTGTCGACTAGAAGTCTGCTGCGGAGCTTGCACCAGTGCGGGCTCAGCAGAAGTGCGTATCGAGGGCGCATAACGGCCACAAAGTGGACACTCGCCAGCACCCTTCTGAATGCTAAAATGACGAATAGGACACCCTAAGGTCTCGTGGACTTAACGGACACGCGCACGCGGCGGCCATTGTAAGTACGTAAGACCGCAAGTGCACATGAAGTGTTCCATTTGGGACAGGGCCACTATAGCGGAGCTATTCCTCATTGGCCATGTAATTAATGATGGTGACGTTTCAGACACGTCACAAACCCCACTACAATTATTTTTTTTAATATTAAAGGGTTAGTTCACCCAAAAATGACAACAACAGAAACAGACATAGAATTCTTCAGTGCACATAATCACTAATTATAGTAGATTTTGATAATTAATAATTTTTTATAATTAATTAAAACATGGTGGGGGTTTGATATAGCTAGCTCTAGCCTAGAGATAGTGGAGTGCTAATAAGTGCTAATGCGGCTTGCTACCAATATATGTAATCAACATTTTGAAAAAGAAGCCCTCAAAAAGGGTTATTATAAACATTAACTCACCTGTTCACCGCTCATTTTCATAAACGTTTCAGCACTTGATTTTGCACTGATCGGTCAATATCTTTAAATTATTGTATTTTACTTATATACTTCTACTGGTAACCCAAAATAATAATGACTAGACATAGTTTTAACTTGCTAGCTAATTTACTTGTTATTTATTTCGCTTATTATTAGAAATAATCTACTCTAGAGGAACTTTGCTGTTGTTGTTATTGATTGTTTGCAGAAGTCTACCGGAAGTTAAGTTAGGGCCACAAAACCGCGCATGCGCAGTAACGTTTGCTTATGTAGTTGCCGTTGAAACCGTCTATATGAAATAATAAATTTTGATATATGGGACTCTAGTGCTTATATTTTTCAATATTTTGCAATATATGCATGAACCATGTGTAGCCATATATTGATACATATAAAATATATATTTAGCAATAAGACAGAAACAATACTACATATGTACACATTTATAGCTTTATTGAAACACTCATTTCTTTTTCATTAACATGGGTTTACATACAAAATTAAATGTCTCAAAAAAACATTCCCAATATGCCTACAAAGGTCCCCAATTCTATACAGATTCAGGCAAATTAACATCTACATTTAATCATTTAGTAGACGCTTTTATCCAAAGCGACTTAAATGAGGACAATAGCAATCAAACCAACAAAAGAGCAATAATATGTAAGTGCTGTGACAAGTCTCGGTTAGCCTAACGCAGTTGGGGCCTCATTTATAAAGCGTGTGTACGCTCAGATTTGCTCTTAGAGTGTGTGTACGCTTAAATCCATGTCAGCGCTCATATTTGTCTTTGACGTGGAAAAGTGCTTAGCATCACGTCGGTCTGAGCAGACGTACGCACTTTTTCTTGTCGGAGTACTGCAGGTTTTTGGAAATGTAAGCTGTTCTGGACCCTATATATGGGTGCTGTGATAGGTGTCACATCCCTATAGGTACACTGTTAAGACTTTTTATTGTATGTTTGTGGTAACTTACTGGCAGCACTATTGCCAGTAAGTTACTGTAACTACTCCTTTACAGTAGCTTATCGCAGTTTCATTTTACAGTATAATGCCCTTACCGCAATTTCTTTTTACAGTATGATGGCCTTACCGCAATTTAATTTTACAGTATAATGCCCTTACCGCAATTTAATTGTACAGTATGATGGCCTTACCGCAATTTCATTTTACAGTAAAATACCCTTACCGCAACTTAGTTTTACAGTACTATATCCTTACTGTAGCTTAGTTTTACAGTATAATACTATTACAGTAATTTTACTGTAATTTATTTTACACTATTTATTTTATAAAACCTTTAAATTTTTTACATGAATGGCAGTTATTCCTAGTATAGTACTGTTTAAACAGTATAGCTTTTTTGCACATTAAAGGTACACTGAATAACTTTATGGTCCTTCAAACCTACACTTTTTTTTGGCTGTGTTTTAAAGTATCTTTTATTTGTGACAGCTCTTGATCCAAGGAATATCAGTGTGTATCAGCTACTGTAACAACATTTGTATTGTTTGTAAATATTAGAGCAAAACAGGCTTTTGAGTAAGAATATCAGAATAAGATAATAAGAATAATTGTGAATCAAACTGAATTCAAGATCAGAACCGAATTAAGAGCATGTGAATCAAATGGAATTATGAAATCTCTATCAATCCCCAGCCCAACATCTGAGTGATCATTTATAAAAAAAAAAACTAAAAAAAAACCGTACAAAGCCAAAGGTGCCGTGATTCTAAGGTGGCCCCTAATAGAGTCTTTGGGGTGTAGTTGGCTCCTGCTGACACACAAGAAAAAGGGAGGAAAAGAGGAAACATCACTGAATATGTGAGAGATATTGCATATCACAGGTGTGGGATGCTTGATCATATATATATATATATACACACACTATATTGCCAAAAGTATTGGGACACCCCCTTCTAATGAACAGGTTTGACTACTTTAGTAATTTCCATGAGTACAAATCTTAATGTTTAAACATATAATGATATTCTAGGGCACTGTGTGCTTCTAATTTTATAGCAACAGACAACGGACCATTTTCTATTCTAACATGACAATGCCTCTGTCTATAAGGCAAGGTTCAAAAATAAATTATTGATTGATTCAGTCAGTGTGGAAGAACTTGACTGGTCTGCATAAAGCCAAGTCCTAATCCCAGCTGAACACCTCTGGTGTGACTTTAAATGCAGACCTTGAGCCAAAAACTCATCACCAAACACCAATGACTTGTACATATGGGTACAGTAATTTTAGACACTTCCAAAACTGTTGCAACAGAGATGGGTGTCCCAATACGTTTGTCCATATAGTGTAAGTACAAGTCATTGGTGTTTGGTGATGAGTGTTTCCCCTAGGTTTATGGCTTTCTTATGTCCGTTTTTTTTTTCTGGACTCCTTTTTAATAGTTAAATTAAATTTTATTAATCAAAAAGCATGTCTAATTAATTCAAATCATGAAACTTAAAAATTTAACATCAATTTATTAAAAAGTTAACAAAATTACATGTTTAGGGCCCTATGAAATTGATTTATTTATTAATTATTTTTCCCAACCTTATGCTTTATTGTTACCGGGCTTAATATTTACAAATACTAGTGGGCATGGCAGTGCTCGCACGTTTGTGTGTGTGTGTGTGGGAGTGTATGTGTGTGTGTGTGCGCGCGCGCGCGCGCATCGGGGCGGAACTCCGCTGTGCTTGATACAGAGAGCGCGACCATAACGTAGAGACCGAAATGACGTGAATTTGCTGCATAGCATAGCTGCAGTTAATCTAATGTCACATACTGCGTCTGACAGTTAAAACATACTTACAAAGCCAAGCCAAAGATGCTCAGTGCTGTGGCTATTAAAATAGCCTTTGGGGTGTAGTTAGCTCCTGTTAAAACAAACAAAAAAGAGAAAAAGAATAATCATTGTTTTTTGTCAGTGATTATTGACTAATCACTATATGTTATGAACATGATACATCACAGATCTAGACTGACTGCTAGATTGATCACTTACACAATCAGATTACAACACTCACTGAAAAAAAGAGAGAAGAGAATATATACAATAAAATAAAATAATAAATTAATATGAAATTTCAGAGAACACTGACTTTGCTTCTATTAACAAACAAGAAGCCATAATAAAGAATGCATTTTCATTCTTGAATTAATTAATTACAAATTTCCTTGAATATAATTTTTTTCTCTTGTGTATGCACTGGCGTAACTGTTTTATTTACGAGAGAACGTGCGCGTTGCGAGCGAGCGAGCGAGCGAGAGAGAGAGAGAGAGAGAGAGAGAGAGAGAGAG